GTTGTAAGCCTCCACATCTCTCCACTCTGGGCTATGGACGGTAGACGCCGCGTCCCCGCAGAGAGGGATGGTTACGTACCCTACCGGGGCGTCCACGATGCCTGCCTTCAAGGAAAACATGTTCTGGGAAACGGGGGGGNGGGGGGGTGGGGGGGGGGGGGGGGGGGGGGGGGGGGGGAGGTTAGTGCTTCCAGAGGGTTAACTAACCGTGTTGTGTAGGGAATTGAGCGAAAACCGCAAAAAAACGTGTGTGAGTTTAACGCTACACTTGAATCGACCCACAAAATGCCGCGAACCTGAAAGCCAACAATCTCGCGATAAACTGAGAGTGAAAAACAACAGACCAGCAGCACAGGACGAGCGTGGACGCTCGGGTAGCCGTGTCAAAATAGGGACAGCAGTGCCGCCGTCGACAAGCCGACCAGAGAGCGAAACAAGTCCCTAGATGCTACACGAACACAGCAGCAGCAGCAGCAGCAGCAGCAGCAGCAGTAGCAGCAGCATGATTGGTGAGAGTGTCAATAACAACACGGTTCTTTCCAATCCAGTCTGCCCAAACACGTCCCTAGGCGCTACTCGACACAGCAGCAGCAGCAGCAGCAGCAGCAGCACATGCAGCAGCATGGAGTATGGTGAACGACACGGTTCCTTCCGATCCAGTCTGCCCAACAACAAACAAACACATACACAAAAAAACAACAGATAAATTGAGGTGAGATCTCTCACCTGACCCCTTCCTCCAGCCCACCCCACGAGACCACCAAAACAACAAAAACCGTGGGCTAAAATAGACTCAAGATGGGCCCAGTATCCAGCCGGTTCTTCTCCCCACTCACTGCAAAGACTTCAACCCATGCCCCTCGACTGTGGATATGTCGCTATGTCTAGAACGAATAGTATTTCTCTGATATGTACGCATGTTTCCTCAGATATCTCGAACGGGTACACAGTCTCCTTGATTGCAAGTATGTTGTCCTAAAATGTATCGAACGGGTTCCTCCCGTGGCTGTACACATACTTTCTAAAAAAAGCAGCTACAATACAATGGGGATGACGGAAACAATCGATACACCGTGGACGGGTACATGCAAGTGCAGGTTCGATCAGGGGGTGCAGTTCCCTCGTAAAACACAAAGGAAAGACACACATACATCATCCACGGTGAAAAACTGATCGCCATTCTTTCCTCATTTGGAACCCATTGACAGAAAGAAAACGAAACCGTGATAGTGGTGACCAATCTCACCTGGCACAGGTGCAGGCGTAGGCTACCACCGCCCCCGTCGACCGCCTCGAGATGCTTGGCCGGGACGTAGAACGTGAACGCCCGACTGGACGGGGTAGAGGGAGCACCGGACGACGCCTCTCCCTGCGTCCCCACGGTGGTCGAACTCCCTCCGGCACCGTCTAGGTCTGCAGCGGTCGGTCATGCGGTCGGGGAATTGTGGTGAAAAAAAACAAAAGCCCAAGCTTGGTATCTAGAGGGGTAGTGGCGATACGGGATCATCCAGGTTACTTGCTCAGAACTTGTTGATCTCGACCGATGCGAATGGCTGCCGCCAATAGCGTAACCACAAACGGCAACGGCTGCTGCTGCTGTTGCAACAGGAGTAGTGAGTGCCCTTGGCGACTTGTAACGTGTACGAGGATTCGTGGGGGGACTTTTGTGTGTATGTTGGCTGAACGCAGGCGGGGAGGATGGTGGAGCTACTACCCTGGCTACTAGGGTAGCGTCATTGAAAAGCTCACGACAGCAGCATCATCACCAACAACGACACTAGCGACCACAACGAGATAGTTCTGAAGCAACTGGGTAGACTCGCTCAAAAAAGTACACAGCACAGCAGCATTATCATCACCAACAATAGCGACTACAACGAGATATCGCTCAAAAACGCCTTCACATCCCCGTTGGCAAACCCCTCTCACCGGCAGCGATGTCGTTGACGACATCTAGCCGCGTAGCCCCGGAAACCTGCACGAACAAAGAGCAACACGCCGTTGCGAAAGACAGCGGGGGGGCCATGGAAACAAATCGCACTTCAGACGTCGACAAAGAGCAGCACCAGCTCCAGGACCAGTACCAAATCAACACCCAACACGGACCAGCCACTTGCCCGACTTGAGGACCCTAGTAGTACGGTAAAAAGGGACCCAGTACTACAAACCGCTGATGTGAGTTGTCCGCGGAAAAGACCCCCCCTCCACCTGATGCTTGGCCCTCGGGGCGTTATACGGACAGGCGTTAAGGTTAGCGTTCGTCCCCCACACAGGCTCCACGCTGCCGTACTCCGTGTTGGTGACGCCCACCACTCTCTCCGCTTCGCCGGGTCCGGCAAGACCGCTGCTACCATCGCCACCGCTGAGAGAGTCGTCATCTGAGGTGCTGTTCGCGGACGGGGAGGGGGGTCCGTAGACTACCTTCACGAAGAAGTTGGCCTGGGGGGGTG